AGGAATGCTTCTCTTGCGATCGGGATGTGCCCTGCTGGTCTCTGGTGGAAGTTTCCTAGTAAGGGTTCGTTCGTTGGTTCATTATCGCCCTTCGAGGATTGGATTCTTGACGTCAGGGTGCTGCCGGATCCATCAAGAGTCCTGGAAGTGACAAGTGAGCTTGGTGAGCTTTTAGGTTAAGTTTTTTTTTTTTTTGGTTCTTCTCTTTAAAGTAAGAACTAAATTTTTGTTCGGGCTAACCTGTACGTTTTTGCAGAATTTCTACCACATCGTGTGGTTTTCCTTATTCTTGGGTTTTCCATTATGCTGATGGCTGATTCTCTGAGCGAGTCTGTTATCTTCTACTATGGGAGCGCGATGACAATTGGCATCATACTTGTGATTCTAATGGTTGTCTACCAGGTTAGGTTACACTTCTCGGAACCTTTTTTATATAGATATAAAACATGCCAACCAGTTTTTAATATCTTCCACAACACAAAAGCGTTGAAGCGGATATTTGCAAAAATTTCCAGCTCCGAATTCCAGTTTCTGAATCTCATTCTTCCGATTGTTAGTTATATTATGAATGGAGAAAACGTCGGGTGACAAAGTAATTTAACCTAATGGAATAAGTGAATAACTTACATAACATAGGCATTAAAAAGACAAAAAATTCCAAACGGAAGCAGGTTATGGATAGACCACATTGAGAAAGCTTATTTAAAGATGTTTAAATTCCACACTTTTATTGTTTAATAAATATGATATTTTTTTTGACAGGAATGCATGCCTCTTTTTTGTCAAATTGCTAGGAATTTAGGAGTCGTCCAAGTAAGCTTTCTGAGTGTAATAGAGAGTGATTACCCCTTAAATCATACCTTATTGTGCTAATCTACATTAAGGGTTTGTTTGAGATAACTTTATGCATGATTTGCTTTTCAAACCGCTACCACCATTTTGTTTGGCGAATTGCTTTCTTGCTGTTTTTAGAAATTTCTGTTGTAGAAAGTTGATTTTTTTCAATCTGAGCTGTGAAAGTGTGGTAGCTGCCAGAAAGTTATGATCTGACTTTTTGAAAATAAATTAAATTTATAGTCACCCCAATTTTTTGAAAAGCAGTTTCTTCCGCAACAGCTTCACTGTTGTTTCTTCAAACAACTGCAACTGCCCCAAACAGACCCTAAGAGTATTATTGTAAGTAAACTATATAGCAAAGTGAGGAATAACTCTTCCCTTTACAAGAAAACTTATCAACCACACTAGCTAACATAGTATTAGAAATGCCAAGGTGGCAGCTAGGGGAATTAATCAAGTTAGTAGGAAGTGCTAGGCTTCTTTAATATTAATGTTAGAGTAGCATTTGTAAGTAAGTATAAAATTGAGATTAAATACAACAACAAAAAAACAAGCCTTTATCCCACCAAGTGGGGTCGGCTACATGAATCAATTTTCTCCATTGTTTTATTTTCATTTAATTGTAATAAATTAAGATAATTTTTTACCCATCATGCCCCAAGCCTTTTTAGGTCTACCTCTACTTTAACATAAATCAAATCTAAGGATCCACTTACCTAACTGGTTCGTCAAATCAGCCAAAGTTTAATGTAACCAAACCATCTAAGACGATTCTCTCTAATCTTGTATGCCATTGGAGCTAGTCCAACCCTTTCACAAACATATTCATTTCACTTTTTGTCTAGTCTATTGTCATTTATCCACATGAGCATTCTCATCTCAACAGCATTTAACTTAATTTTATGATTCTCTTTACATACCAACATTTTGCGATATAGAGTATTGTAGGTCTCACCACCATCTTATAAAATTTTTCTTTAAGTGTAAGCACTAATATTCTATTACACAATTGGGCCGATACATTCCTCCACGTTAATCATCCAACTTGAATTATACTAATAACATTTCCCTCTATAGCACCATCACTTTGAAAAAGTGAGATTACATATTTCCAAAATTTACCCCAAATGGAATTAATAAAAATAAAGTGCTATCTTAGCTCTTTTGTTCATAGAAAGGCTAAGTTGACTCTTAATGGAAGAAGCCGTGAAAAGTAAGACTGGTAAAGCTTTGGGCATGATAAGAGACACTTTTCCACCAAGAATTGTGCAGATGGTTCTTAGAAAGAAAACTTCATATCCTTTTTCTGTTAATAGCCTAGCTCAGGTTAGGATTTATTAAATAACCAATTCTACTCATTTCTCTTGGTCTCTTAGGGTCTGTTTGGGACAACTATAGTTGTTTTAAAAACATATGTGAAGCTGCTGAGGAAGAAATTGATGTTTAAAAAGCTGTGGTGACAATTACAAATTTTTTTTTTTTTGAAAAGTTAGATAGCAATTTTTTAGCAGTCATTGCATGTAATCAGATATAGTAGGAAAACACAGTTTTTAGTTGCGGTCTTTTAAGAACGTAAGCTAAAAACAGTTTTACCAAACAGAAAAAATTGTGGTACGACACGACACCGCTGCCCCAAACACACTTTTAGCCTGGTCGTGGTAGAATTTGCATTTTTTTTAGCTATTATCAGATAACAGATTTTGGTATGTAAATTGATTTGAACCAATAATAAAGGTTGTTTTGTGTGGATTTTATAAGTTGTAGTCTTTCGACAATAGAAATAAATTTTTACTTTCATCTTACAATTCTGAAATGCGTGCATTAAACAGATTTTGATAATCTTTGAATCCGAGAAAAGGTTTGAACGGGAAGACTTAAATTAGGAAGAGCATAAGCTTTGCAGTATTAGAATTAGCTTTAGAAAACAACTTTTTTGACTTATCCATATTGGCTAACAAACCCATAGAAAGTTTAAAATTCTATAAGTAGGATACCATGTTAGAAATAAAGCCAAAATTAGCTTGCTCGAAGAACCCAGGGTCATCTATATATATATGATGATGTATACTAGGTACGCTGTTATGCATAAAAAGCTACAACGAATTGCTTAGAGAACATTCTTTGATTAGCCTTGATTGTTCTTCCATAATAATTGTGAAGAAGTAAGATGAGAGCAGACAACCGTCAATTAAGCCATTTATAAAGGAGAAGTTAACGCAATTTTCCCCATTAACAATTATGGAGAAAGGAATTGTGCCAATATTGGCAAAAATCCAATTGATAAAAGTGATGGGAAGTCAAGAAGGTAAGCCTTATAAATCCTTGTTAACGCAATGAAAAACTTTGTTGAGATCCACTTTATCATAAAATAATTAATTGTTTAAATGATGCATCCATTCTTGTAGCTATCTTGAATAAGAAATATTCATTCCTTCCGCTAAAGCGCATGGGCCAACTTAATTGGGTTTGGAAGTGCAATTAAGGGTGTGTTTGGGGTAGCTTATCATTTGCGACAGCGTTTTGAAAATGCCGCCTCAGTGTTTGGAAGAAATGTTCGAGATGCTTATTTCAAAACGTTGTTTCGCTGTTTAATTAAATGCAGGCCGCGGGAGGAGCCCTGCGGTCTGGCGTTTCCTTCAGCATTTAACGTTGTTGCCCCGTGTCTGCCTTCCTCCAGGCTCAGCTCAAAAACCTTTGCCCACTTCTCCTTTCTCACGGCTTCGCCCAAAAACCCCTGAGATCGCAACCCTAGCGATACAATCGTGATTAGAGCTAGCTGGTATGCGCTGTTCACACTCTTTGTGTCTGCCTTCCTCTTGGCTCTGCCAACTTCCTCCTTCTCCTGCGAGCTTCCTCTGACAAACTCCTCTCTCCGGCGACGCTTCGGCCAGGTACTCCTCCCCCTCTTTTTCTTCTTTTTCGTGCATCTCAAAGAAAGAAAGGAGATTTCGGGTAGGAGCAGAGATTTACATACATGCCACTCAATTCTTTTCATTTTACAGCAAATAAATAAAAAAAAGATGTTTTACAAATATACTACTCAATTTCTGTCCATTTCTAAAAAAACAAAAATATAAAGGTTTACATACATAGGACTCAATTCCTGTGTATTTGTTTATGTACATGCCACTCAATTTTGTGTACTTATTCCTACACATTTATTCACGTTTATAACATTCAATTTTGCACATTTATTTAAGTACATATCCCAATTTCATGTATTTATTCCTGTATATTTATTTACATATATATCACTCAATTTTTGTATATTTATTTAAGTGTATACCACTCAATTCTTGTTTATTCATTTACATACATACAATCTTTGTGCATTTGCACATAAAATAAAAAAATATTTACATAAATACCACCTAATTTTTGTGCATTTATATAAGCCAAAAGGGGTTAGCAGTAATAAAAAAAACAAAAGATTTACATACATATCACCTATTTGGGGTAGCATGGTCATTTATCCACAAACATCTGCAAATCAGTTGTTTTTAAACAGCTGTCCCAAACAATCAACCAGCTTATCAGGATAAGCTGCCGATCAACAACTTATAAGGATAAACTGCTTTTGTAACTGCCCCAAACAAACCCTAAGTCTGCTAGCTAAAATCTTAGTTATAACCTTGTAAATTTTACATACAACTAATGGTTTACGATCATAAACTGTGTTTGAATTTAACTTTTTTGGTATTTGGGCACTAGCAGTATGTTTGAAAAAGATGGACATTTTAGAAGTCTTATAAGAAATGCCATGCTACTCTTATGATTTGTGGGTCAATTGTTTCTCATTTATCCTTGTGGAAATTGGCATTAAACCTATTTCGGTCAGGTTTTCTGTCATTATCTAGGGAGGATACTGCATTCTTGACATCCACATTATAAACAAGGCTAATGAAAGCTGCTTTTTAAGATTCCATCAGTAACTTGCAATAGGGCCCAACAAAGACTAGATTATTAGTGGAGGCATTGCCATGTGAGATATGAAGCTCATGAATGGTTATGATTCTTTTGACATTTAATTTTCTTTTAAAAAACCCAACATCATCCTCTCGTTTCACAATCCAATTCACCTGAACTCTTTGAGAGATCTAATTATACTCTAAAGTGGATGCAGAAATGAGATTGTCTTGAATTTATTTTAGTTTAATTTTCCTATGTCGAAAGAAAGGGTTTAAAGGATTGATTTCTAGGTTACTGGAAATGATGGTTTTGTAAGACATTGATTTCAGCTTTCTTGATAAGATCATTAAATCCAATGCAATTACTTCATAAATTCTTATTACGTTTTATTTTGAGGAATTGTGTGGAAGAAATAATGAGCATAAAGTGATCTAGATAGAGTGAGGGGTAGTGTATTGTAGAATGAAAAGGTAAAGGGATCCAACTATGCAGTGTTAACCAACACTCTGGGGTGCTTTCATCCGATTGGATTATTGGGTTGGTTATAACACCAATTGAAAGAAAATCCAGATCTAGGGAGTTGAAGGAGACCAACATTAAAAATTCAATCATTGGATCCACAAATTTAGCATGATGAGGTTGGGAATGCCCATTTTCTCGGTTTACCCATTTACGCAACAAAGGTCTCCAAAGAGACTCCATGCTTCTTGAAGATGTGTTTTTGATGAAATTGCAGAGTATTTCTCTTACCAATCTTTCATGAGCTGCAATGGCACTTTTGCTTGTCTAACTTTTTCCTCAGCACAACATCTGTTTAGATTACTCCAACCGCCTATTTTATATGTATAATTGGGAAGTTGATGGAGCCCAGATGACTTTGAGGTCCTTTTTGGATATCTTGATGTTGCAGAATTAATAAAAAGGGTTATTTTTGCTCACCTACGGTTGCTGTAACGGTGAAAGGTTTTTCTTCTGCAAGAAGTTTAGCAAGGTTCTAGCAGTTTCAATTTCTAAAGGGCAATGATCTCAAGATTAAAAAAACATGAAACTAAACGGCTGAAGCTGGTTTTGCTCACGTACGATTGCTTTAATAATGGTGAAAAGTTTTACTTCTGTGAGAAGTGTAGCACTATTAAAGGAATTTTGATTTTTAAAGGGCAATGATTTCAACTTCAAAAAATCGTAATACTAAATGACTGTAGCTAGTTTTGCTCACGTTCTGTTGTTTTAATGGTTATATGTTGTTCTTCTGCGAGAAGTTGAGCACTATTAGAGGAGTTTTGTTTCCAAATACGCAAAGATCCCAACTTGAATAATTCATAAAGCTAAATGAGTGAAGCTGGAGTTCTCCCTAGATTTAAAGAGGGTTATTTGAACTGTGCTCTGTTAATTATAGCATGCTGTCTTTTTTGGATATATTGATGTTACAGAATTAAAGAAAAGACTTATTTTTGCTCACCTACGGTTGCTTTAACTGTGAAAGGTTTTTTTTTTTTTTGCGAGAAGTGTAGCAAGATTCGAGGAGTTTTGATTCCTATTGGACAATGATCTCAAGATAAAAAAATCATAAAACTAAATGACTGAAGCTAGTTTTGCTCACCTATGATTGCTTTAATGGTGAAATGTTTTTCTTCTGCAAGAAGTGTAGCACGATTAGAGGGGTTTTGATTCCTAAAGGGCAATGACCTCAACTTCAAAAAATCATAAAACTAAATGACTGAATCTAGTTTTGCTCACGTTCTATTGTTTTAATGGTTATATGGTGTTCTTATGCAAGAAGTTTAGCAATATTAGAGGAGTTTTGTTTCCGAATACACAAAAATCTCAACTTTAACAAATCATAAAGCTAAATGAGTGAAGTTGGAGATCTCCCTAGATTTAAAGAGGGTTATTTGTACTGTGCTCTGTTAATTATAGCATGCTGTCTTTTCTACTAATCTTCTATCCATCTTCAAAACTTACATTTTATAAAACAATGCCTAATGATTTGCTTTCACAACTAGTGAAACACTTGCTTAACAATCTTTTTGTGTTTGTATATAAGCTTGTCATAAAACAAAGATTTAAAATGGATTCTCGCAGTGTATGATTTTCATCGACCTTTGGGTTAAGAAAATTGTTTTTTTGAGAACAGTATTGAAGTCGTAGAACTTTATTCTCATTTTGTTTACCAATTCTGTTAATTGAGTTTTCATAATTTTTAGTTGTCCCCCTTTTTTTTATCAGGATCAAGTTATATAGGAGAATGCTCTAAATGTCTAATCTTCTATGATATTCATGCAGGGTATGAAGCTGTTGCCAACAGGTCGAAAGAGTTCACTAGCTGTAGTCTTGTACTCATCCATTGTAAGCATCAACTGTCATAAGCTGATATCTTTTCTTATTTAGCTCTTCGGTGTCAATTGCATAGCATCACTATACGTGTTACTTATTTATAATGTAGGTTGGTGTTGCAGCCTCTCTTTTGCAGCACATTTCTGCCTTATTGCGCGCAGCACTTGTTGGGATAGGAATATATGAAGATATGCATAAACCTGTATGTAAGTTTCTTTGTGATTCATTTATGCCTTTCTTCTTAATGAGAAAATTGTATCTTTATAATTGGCTATTAATTTCTCTGGTTAGTTTGATGAGAAGTTTTACCAAACCAGTTTTTGTATTTGTTTTCAAAGTATATCTATTAATTTAATGTACCCTGTTTATTGATGCCATTAATCCTGTCACTGCTTGTAGAAGAACTTTCAAGCTATGGTGAGCTTTAATTCACAAAGTCTCCATACCGTTGAGACTTTGTGTGACATTAGTGCAATTTTGCAAGAATTATTTTTTTAGAATTTGTGTTTTATTAAAAATGTTTTTATATAGTTTTCTGATGGATGGTACCTCTTTATGGATGTGGTGGTTGTTGGCTAAGGCAGTGGTTTTTGGCATTATTTAAAATAAAAGGAAAAGTTGGTGGGTTAGATTTTTGTTTCTATCATACTTTGCATTTTGTGACATCAATTTTGTGTAATTTGGGGATTTGCTTTTGAATAAGATTTGCATGCAACCTTCTTAGGTTGTTTTGTTTGATTGTGACCTGACTGATATACTTCATCACTATGAAAATTTAATTTGGGAGTTTTTTTGTTTCAATGGTTACAAGAACAAGAACAACAAGCCTTTCGTCTTACTAAGTGGGGTCAGCTACATGCTACATAAATCCTTTTTCTTCATCGTGTCCTATTGGTTCCATTGATGCTGAGATTTAAACTAAATTGTGAATTTTTTGGGAATTAATTTAAGCCTAAATTGTGAGAGATTATGTGAATGCTAATTGGATGTGTGATTTTTTCTAGTACAATATACATATGACTAATGAATTTCTTTGGAAGTCAACTTCTTGTGATGACTTTAGGCTTGGTTTTTTTTTTTACTTTGGCAATTTTTTTATTTGCTTGGTTATTGGTTAATTTAGTGTTCTTGATTTTGTCTGGAAAGGGATACATTAAAATTTTATTTTGTGAAAAATAATTTTTTTTTTCTCGCTGATTTTATTTGTTTCCAAAATTTTCTTGAATTCTTGGATATTTATGATCATATCACGATTAATTGAGCTTGAACTCTAATGTAAATTATTTTTATTTAATTAATATAAATTTCTTGTAAGCATAGTTAGGAAAGCCAACTCACAGCCATCTTAAATCCAATTGGTAGATTTTATATAGGATACAAAATTCTATGCCGTAGTACAAGGTCTTTGATATTGGAAGCATTTGTTGTTATCCAAAGAGTTTATTATTATTATTTTATCATCAAGATTAGGAATTTAGCTCTTAATAGAAGCTAGGTTATAGGCATTAAATAAATATTTTTTTTATGAGAATATTCTTTCGTATTTAAATTCTAATTTGGATCTGAAAATAAAACTGTTGGTGCTTGAAGTAGAATTTTTTGTTCTGTGTACTTACAAATTAAGGTTATTGGCTTCGATCTTATGAAAGAGGACTATGCTGCATTTAAGGATTTTGTTGGAATTTACGATGCCTTAAATAATTTATTTTTATCTAAAAAATACCACATGATTGAATTTGGCTATTTTAGGGATTTTTTTTTCATGTTCATGGTTTAAACGACTAAGGGTGACCCCTTGATGTTCATGTAATATTGTGAAAATGAGTATTGTTCATTAATTAGGCTGGATTTTAATTTAAATCATTAATGATTTAAAGCATTTTTAATACATTTTATGCTTATAAATTTCATCATTAAAGATTTTAAATAACTCAAGAAGGATGAACATAGTACATACAGTGAAGGGTGTACAGTACCATCCTAAGATTTTAGAGCTTATGTTTTGAATTACTTGTTAGGGTGTTGCCTGATTGAGACGAACTAGTTTAGTTAGTTTAAATTATTTACTCTGAGACCTGGTAATGAACTTGACCCCTTATAATTAAAATATAGGTAACGGCTGCATGATGAAAATATTGGAATGAACCTGATTGGATTTTTAACCTGTTGTATGCGGCTTATCATCTTTATCAACTTCTTTTATCAAACATTGTTTGGAATCACTGCGAACTGTAAATATCCACTTAAATTTGTATGCTAGATCATAGTTTATAATCATACTTTCATGCTGTCTTGTATGAGCACGGAAGGTGAGATATTATAGTTTGTAAAACTTGGAATGCCAAGAGCCAAATAATGGTCATAGTGATCCACCTATAAAGCCGTTCAATTCCCTCCCTCCTTACCTCTCTCAATTCTCTCTGTTGTTCATTAATGTTTTTTGCATTTTGGATTGGTTGAAACTGTAAATGGTTCACTTTCTAATTTGTGTAAGTTACTAGTTTAAGGATTTATCTTCATTAAGGGCTAGACGTTGT